TACTGAATGCAAACACAATTTTGGCACAGCAGCCAAAAAAACAAACAAACAACAACAAAAAAAGTAAAAAAAACAAATAAAAATATAAAAAATAGTGAGGGGATATTTGAATTATTTGTTAATAAACTAATGTTTTCTGAGTCAATGTTGACTATCCATCCTCATTGGATGTGCCTTTAGAGAGAAATGCATCTTTACAGATTACATAATGAAAGAGTTTTTGTTTTCGATTTTAATTATTTTGTTTTAAAATAGTAATTTAAAGCATTATATAGATATATTTATCATGACGGTAAGGCAAGTATTCGCTGAGTTTCAGTTCATCATTGTGAGGCGCTCCTGCTCAAGACCAAGACGACAGAAAGCGCATACTGTTTGTTTTCCTTATTTTACAAAAGCACAAGGTTTTGTTGATATTGTTAGTGCACACAAATACAAGTAGACTTTGCAGTTCCGAATGAGGTATACTCTTACCTTTATGAGCAAAAATGACGGCGTATTTTTAAGCTTTCACTGTTATTAAAAAAATTGCAAGTGATCGCGCTGGCGTCTCCATGTCCTGCAAAGCGCGCTTTAGCTTCCACTCTCCACACAAACTATTGGATATGCGCCTAACAGCGCTCATTTATCTAGGTTAAATGTTTAAATTAATACTGTGAAATGCTTTAATACTGTAAAAGTGTTTTATGTCTATAGATTTTATTTTAGGCAAGTCGTCGTGTTGATTTGAGAAGGCTAAATTGATCAAACATATTTGTATAACTCATATAACAACATATAACTCACTGTCTGCTGCTGGCCGCTTGGTCGCTCCTTTAAAAAACAAAAACCTGAATTTAACAAACATAAAATGTTCCAAACATATTTCTAAATTAACTTAATAAAGAAACTAAAAGAAATATTACCACTTTGCCATTAAAAACCGAATCTGAACTATTTTAATAGCTGTGTAATGGGGAAGAGAGAGAGAGAGAGAAAAGACATGGGCTCCAGTCGGACTCGGGCTGAGGGAAATTCAGGGAAATTGCAGGGAAATTCATTTCCTCGTTTCAATTAAAAGTTCCCCTCGGCTCGGCGGGCCCCCAATCTGCCCGGGGCCATATGCACCTGCATACCCTGCAGACGCTACGCCACTGAGTCGACCTCAAGCATTACTGTTATGTTGGTCCAAGCGTACTGAGACCTCATTGCTTTCACAAATCACGAGGAAATCGAACCACAAACGGACCTACAAATGAACCGAACCTCCGGAGGTGGTCTGAGTACGGTTGGCTTTTGGGTCCTTTTAGGGGGCTCTGAGATCACTTGTTTGTTGTTCACATATATGAGCTGAACCGCTCTGAGAGTGTTTGCAGGGCTCAAACAAACTAGGTGTGAAAACACCCTTAGTTTCCAAAGGAACAATCACCTTACAAAGCGAAGATGTACGTTTTAGAAGCTTGTACATAGACCTTAACACATAAACCTCAAGAACGCTGACAGTCAACAAATGTAAAAAGATGAGCTCTTAACATCACAACACAACAAATAACTAACAATAATGACAAAACAACAACAGAAGTTTTAAAAAAAGTCAGCAAATAGTAAAATAGTAATCCTATAACAGTAACCACATAATTTATTCATGCTGTAATGCATGCTGGGAACTCAATTATAGTCACAAATTCTCACTATTAACTGACTTTTGCCTCAATAAACTCCTGATTAGCTGCTTATTAATAGTTAGTTAGGTAGTTGTTAAGTTTAGGTATGGACTGGATTAAGGGATCTAAAATATGATCATGCAGAAAAGGGCATAAATATGTGCTTTATAGCCACTAATGAACAGCCAATATGCTAGTAATATGCATACTAATTCGCAACTAGTTAATAGTGAGAACTGGTTCCTAAACTAAAGTGCTACTTAAATTCTTCAGACGGCCTTGTTTGTCTAGTTGGGACAGCATTTGGAGCACTCTGTTGGTCTGACACGGGCAAGTTTATGTAATTTCAATTCATTCAGATTTCATAGTATTTGTGACTCTAAAGGTCCGGTGTGTATGTGACTTCCTCACCTTTGCGAAGCTCTTCTGGCTGTCATACTTGAGGTGTTTGGGGTAGATGTAGATGTGATTCTTGTAGACTCTGTAAGGCTGGGCAAACTTAGAAGAGTCCTGCAGGAACTCGTCCACCTCTACTGTCGGAGCGTGAAGACCGCAGTCCTCGAACGGCCTGAGAGCCACATACGAGGATGTCACACAGTCTGAGGAACAAGCATGCATGATGATGAATGTGTGGCCACACAACAGCCAGCGCTTACGTGTTAAGTACATAAAAACTGAACAACATTTATGAGTAAAATTGCATTTTGCATCAGTTTGGCCTTAAATGTGAGGGTTGTGGTATTAGTTGGACGTACTGGGACATTCCATGGGAACACAGTCTACGTTTATTTCAAGGTTTCCCGGGATGATCTGGAGTTTGCTGGCCTTCTCTGCCCTGTAAAAAACACTTGATTTAACTGAGGTCATTTATGATGATGTGACATATGTGACCCTGGAGCACAAAAGCAGTCTTAAGTCACTGGGTTATATTTGTAGCAATAGCCAACAATACATTTTATGGCTCAAAATTATCCATTTTTCTTTTATGCCAAAAATCATTAGGATATTAAGTAAAGATCATGTTCCATGAAGATATTTTGTAAATGTCTAACCATAAATATATCAAAACTTAATTTTTGATTAGTAATATGCATTGCTAAGAACTTCATTTGAACAACTTTAAAGATGATTTTCTCAATATTTAGATATTTTTGCACCCTCAGATTCCAGATTTTCAAATAGTTGTATCTCAGCCAAATATTGTCCGATCCTAACAAACCATACATCAATGAAAAGCTCATTTTTTCTGAGTCTGTACCTCCTGTACTCTGTGATGAGCTTGATGAGGTCTTCTGTGGAAATCTTGTTGCTCTCCTGTTTGAAGAGCGGAGAGAAGCGACTTTCCCTGTCCACTGTGCCCTGGTTGTCCTTAAATACTGACCTGGAATATACAGGGAAGAAATGCTATGACTGAATTTAAATAAACTGTTAATAGTGCAAGAGCTTTTTTGTTGTTGTTGAGCATTTGTTCTGGCATAGCTGAAGCACCAGAGATTTAGGATTCCCTTACCTTACAGACCAGGCAAAAGGCATGCGGTACTTTCCAAGTTTGCTACAGAATTGTTTATTGGATTTCAACATCTTTTGGACAGTCTGGATGGAACAAGCAGAGAAATTGGAGTTCAATGTATTTGAGAGAACAAAATCATGAGTAAGTCTCCACTTACTACATAACTTTAATCATATTGGTGCTTAAATCAATATTCGGTGTATTTATCCTTATGCCACATATAAAATTGTCTAAATGCCATTACTTTAGTGACATTTGGGACATTTGCAAACAAATGCACAAAGCAAGGTCTATATAAACATGATTGGATGAGTCTGGTGTGGAAGAGCTTGACTGGCCACACAGAGCCCTGATCGTAACCCCATCAAAACCCTTTGAGATGTGCTGGAATGGAGACGATCCAACATCAGTGCCTGACATCACAAATGCTCTACTGGATAAACAGACAAAAATTCCCACAGAAACACTCCAGAATTTTGTGGAAATCCTTCCCAGAAGAGTGGAAGCTGTTATCCCAGGTAACAAATTTAGGTTACAAAAACATTGTGGGAACATTGTTTTGAAATATTTTTAAACGGTTTTATTGTTATGATTATAACGTTATTTAAAGGTTACAAAATTGTTTCTTACATAATTTTACTAACTTTATTTTCACACGAGATATAACATTATTTGAATGTGTATTTTTAAGATTCTAAGGACATTAATGTCGTAATTTGAACATTATTTAAAGGTTACAAAATACGTTGTAATAACTTTATTTTCACATAATATAACTGTCAGACTCTGTTCCATGTTTTGTCTGTGTCTTGCTCCCCAGGTGTTCCTTTCCCATGTTTAATTTGTGACAGAACAGCGGACCGAACTGTAAGCGGCATCCCTTCCCCGTGTTTGATTTCCGGTTTTTGTAAGTTTGTGTTTTGCCCTTTTTTTTACGTGCGCTCCTCCACGTCCCCATATGGAGGAGCGGTTGCTGTTTATATCAGTGGCTCAAGCGAGCCCAGACCCCGTCGTCTTCGCGAGGGCGTTTGTGCCGCTCGCCCTCGCCAGCTGTATAAAAAGTGTTCCCAGTCCCAAGTTCTTGGTCCGCTGTGTACGTCTTCGTGTGAACGTCTTCCTGAGTTCGTCTCCCTTGGTTCCTGTAAATAAAGTCTTGTCAACATATTCTCCAGCGTCTCCTCGTCCCTCGTGTGTGTGCAACGTCACAATAACATTATTTGAATGCTTATTTTTAATATTCTAAAAATGTTCAAATGTTTTTTGTATTTATCATGATTAGGAAGTTAATTAAGGGTTACAAAAACATTTCTCATAACGTTCTACTAACTTTATTTTCACCTAAAACATTAGTTGAACACTTATTTTTATTATTCTAAGAACATTCAAATGTCCAAATTTCTAGTCATGATTAGAATGTTACTTAAAGTGGTGGTTGATTGCGATTTCACTTTTTTAATGTTAGTTAGTGTGTAATGTTGCTGTTTGAGCATAAACAATATCTGCAAAGTTACGATGCTGAAAGTTCAATGCAAACGGAGATATTGTCTTTTAAAATTATGGCAGTTTAATGCCTACAAAAACGTCTCATAGGGACTACAACGAGCTTCTTCCCAGGTTTGTGACGTCACAAACCCCGATAAACCCCGCCCCCGGGAATATGCAACAAAGGAGGCGAGGCCATGCTGCGCTGCTTTAGAGAAGAGGAAGAGTTGTTTTGTAAAAATACCCGTGTACGTGTGGACAAAGTGGACATAGGCCTTAGAGAGAAGGAAGAGAAAACTAGGGGTGCACGTAAAAAAACGTTCATACATGAGTCGCGATTCTGTCTTCTAATGATTCTAATGGATTCACAAGATTCAAAATCAATGTTCTAAAGCAGCGGTTCTTAATCCTGTTCCTCGTGCCGCCCTGCTCTTCATCTCTCTCTCTCTCTTATTCAGATCATCAGCTCCATCAATGAACTGTGTTACAATTATACACTAGACAGACAGATATATTTCACATAGCTACGAGAAGCATTAAACATGGACAAGCACGCGGTTGCCGTGGTAGCGAGCAATACTTGCTGCCAAACACTTCTTACTGTTACAAAAATGCTACAACGCAATCATGTATTCTGCATTGTATATATATATATATATATATATATATATAATTATAAAAAAATGCTTTTTACGGTGAACTCAGTAGACAGGCTATGCACACGTGACGTGCCATTCCTGCATCCTCACACCTCATGTTTGTGGCTGAATGCAAAGGATCATAATTGATGGACAACTATGCCCGTGAAAACACATCAGCAATCCGGCGCCGAGAAAGGAAAAGGAAAAAAAGATCGCAGGAAAATCATCCCAAATACATCCAAATCTACTTACGTTTGGTTCAGAGATTGGTCCTAAAATGTTCTTGAGTGGTCTGTTCAGTCTTCAGATTTAAATCTCATTAAAAATCTTTAGTGTGATTTGAGCAGTGGCAACATGAAAACCAAAGACTATGAGTGATCTGGAAGCTTTTTCAAGCAAGGAATGTGGCAAGATCCCAAAAGACAAGTCTCAGAAGCAGGTCAAGGGTGTTGAATAATTTTGATCGCAAATAAAAATCCAGAATGCACTAATATTTTCTTCAAAAAAAGAAAAAAAAAAAGAAAAAGAAAAAGAAAAAAAAAAAGATGAAGCCCGTGCATCACTTTCAGGTACATTCATAATCCTGTGAAACTTTTTTGGCTGTTGATATTAATAACGTGTTTTAATGTCGGTAATAATTTAACCACCAACAACGCATCTAATATTCTCTCTGAGTTTCCATGTTCCCTTACGAACATTAGCCTTGGTTTTACTACGAATAAAACCAAAAATCATGGTTCTTGTAGCCATGGTAACCACAACTTAACCATGGTTGTGTTCCTTCAAAATAACAGTTTACAAAGAAGTATTAAGATATTTTTTGTGGTTATAAAAACAGACCTAAGCCAACAACAGCCTTTAAAATTACTTAAAATGCATAATATAAAAACAATGAGGCAATAATGATTGGTTAATTTATAATTATATGGTTTCATTGAATAACACTGTTAAAATACATAATGTAATACAAAATAAACAATTTATGTTCATTACATATTATTGCAAATGCCTGTAAAGGGCGCCAAAGTCCTGGTAATTGCTGCTGTTACACATACAGGATGATCAAATCCTTGTTAAATATCGACCGAACATTTAGGCTAATTCAAATATCCACTTAATCTTACATTTTTGGCCAACTTTTTGTGATAAAATGCTACAGCCTCTATAATTTCTTCAACAAAAACATGTGGACATCACAACCTTTACAAAAATTAACCATGGTTTTACTGTAGTAAAATTTGCGTGATTTCTGAATGCTTGAGACTTTAAAATCAATCAGACAACTGCATTAATAAAATCATAGCCCTAGGTAACTGTCTAGAGCTACAACTGTAATTTGTAAATAATGCAATTTAATTACTATTTATTTATTTATTTACTTGTATATTTTATTAAAGTTCTATTTTGACCCCAATAGTAGGTGTGTTTTTTTTAACATCCATAATATTTGGGAGAGGGGGCACAACAATACAATTCTGCTTAGGGCACCCATTTGGCCATCAGCGGCCCTGATCAGATGCCATTGTTTACAATACAACCGGAGCACATGCACTGAGGCGAGGGGCGTGACGCTTCTGGACTGCACTGACGGTTTAGCCAATCACAACACACTGGGCCAGCTGACCAATCTGAGCCCATTGCATATTTCTGAGGGAGGGGCTTCATAAAATCAGGAAATCATCAGAGCGTTCATCAGAGAAGGGACAAAGCTGTGTAGAACAAAGGTAAATTATGTGAAAAATAATGCGTTTTTTTTTTTAAACGAAGCATTAAGACGTTAGACTGCACCCCATAAACACAATCAAGCCTAGAAGAAAAAAAAACAGTCAACCACCCCTTTAAAGGTTACTAAAACATCTCTTACAATTGTCACCAACATTTGGACTTATAGTTTGTTTTCTCTCCTCATGTGTTCCTTGACCTAGTTTCCCCATTCTTCCCTTGATTATGTTAGTCAGTTCACCTGTGTCTAGTTAATTCAGTGTTTTTCCTCGTTTGCCCGTGTATTTAAGTTCCTGTCTGTTCAGTTCTAGTTTGTCGGGTCTCGTCTACGGTATACGTGTGTCACCAGCCGGCCTGTACATGGAATTACCTTTATGTGGATTGATTAAAGACTGTTTACCCTTCATCTTCATCTTCGTGCGTGCTCATTCGACACAGTTACGTGACAACAATATTCTGATTATTTTATTTTTACCCAAAATAAAACATTACTTTAACGTTTATTTTTAATATTCTAAAAATGTTTTCTCCCAACATTAAGAACATTCATTAAGTACAAATAGCTGTTTTCTCTTAACATTTTAAGGACATTTTTTAAATAAAGATAACGGTATGTGGACACTCAAAGAATGTTGTTCTAAGAATGTGTTTCTCTCAACGTTTTATCAAATATTAATAAAGTGATAAGAACGTTCCATAAACGGTACTTTAAGAACATTTAAGAACTTAACATTTATATAACTTTTAAAAGTTGTGAGAACATTCCCTGTTAGCTAGGACAGCTGCAATTACAGGACCAACTCATATTAATGTCGATGTACTTAGAAAGCGATGCCATTAAAATTCCTGTTGGTGTAATGGTCAGGTGTCCCAATACTTTTATCCATATAGTATATAAATATATATATACACACATTACATTACCTTTATGCATTTAGCAGACACTTTTATTCAAAGCAACTTATGAAGTAAATTCATTTAAATGACATACCTTGCTGGAATCTGTGTTTTTAATGTAGGGTTCTGCACCACTGGAAATATTTCCCATCAACACTTTCTCCACCCGTGCCATCATCACGATGTCTGTATGTGGGTTCGTAATGGAAAAAATCGCCTGCAGGAATGATCAACCACACAAACACATGAACACAGATCTATCCTCTGTGAAGATCCACCTCCATATCAAAGGGCTCCTGCATTGTTACCTGTTTGGGGAAGCGCAGCCAGTTCTCCAGCTCGGAGCTCAGCTGGCAGTCCTCTGTTTTCTTCTCCACAGGTGAGGTCAGGCCATTCTCCTGCGGAGCACCATCCGAGCCTTGATCTCCCGCACTACCAGAGCTACTGAGCATCTGCCGCACAACCTCCTGGTTTAAGTCCACATGGAAGTCAGCGGAAACCTTCCTGCCCTCACGTATGTCCAGCAGAGAAACCGACACGAAGAAAGGCTCGATCTGAGGAGAGACAGCAGTCATTCAGCATACAAATGAAATTGAGAAAGCTGAATACATAAGCTTTCCATTGATGTATGGTTTGTTAGGATAGGACAATATTTGGCTGAGATACAACTATTTGAAAATCTGGAATCTGAGGGTGCAAAAAAATCTAAATACTGAGAAAATTATCTTTAAAGTTGTCCAAATGAAGTTCTTAGCAATGCATATTACTAATCAAAAATTACGTTTTGATATATTTACGGTAGGACATTTGCAAAATATCTTCATGGACCATGATCTTTACTTAATATCCTAATGATTTTTGGCATAAAAGAAAAATCGATAATTTTGACGTTGGCTATTGCTACAAATATATCCGTGCTACTTATGACTGGTTTTGTGCTCCAGGGTCACATATAAGCAGATTAATAAATGATACACTATATACAGCTGAGGGTATATGTTTGCACACCCTATTTGTCTCCTACATGTATAAAGTCTTTTGCAAACTTTATAATAACATACATACATATATCCCTCTATATAAGATATTTAAGTATTTCCCAGAAGACAGAATAATAATAATTTATTTTGATCTTTGTTTACAAAAGTTTGCATTCTCTTGTATCCTTCTCGAGCAACAAATGAATGCACGTTTTGGTAAAAGCTGAGTCCCTCAATTGCTTTAGATGAGAAAAGCAGGATCTCAACTTTTGTAGGCATTGATGAGACAAGAACAACAATCAAACAAACGGTCACTGATCAAGGGGATGTAAACTTTTGAACACGACCCTCTGTGGAAATTCAGTAATTATTTTTGTCTTGTGGAATATGCATGAAAATGAAATTTAAAATATATGAAATGATTTAAATGAGTAGTACACTGCAAATTTTTCTTTCTTAGTATTTTGTCTCATTTTGTTTTTGTCTTTTCCTGTACAAATCAAGATAAGATAAGATATTAAGATATTAAGTCTTGTTTTCTAATAAAAATTAAGTGAGTTTATGCTTAAACAATAAAAAAGCATCTATCCATGGGGAAAGAAAAACAAAAAATACACTTTTTCTTTTTTTTTTAAAAATTAATTTAATTAAAAAAAAAAAAAAAAGACTATTTCTTATTAAAATTAATAATTTTGTTTCTCAAGTAAATGCCATAATAATGTCAAGTAAGATCATGATTTAAGAATGTTTAGATATTTAACAGAAAAACAAAATAAAAAAAAAATGCTAAGAAAGAACATCATTTTTTTGTAGTGTCCTACATTAAAAACAAAATGCTTTTTTTTTATGAAATCTGATCTTTTGAATGACAAAGATTCTGCAAGGGGTAAGCAAACAAATGCACTCAACTGTAAATTTCATTTTTATATGTATGTGCTATTCTACTTTTTTTTTAATGAATTTTCTGTTATGATAAAGGACATGAGATCGTACATTAGTCACTGGCTCAGTGTCGGCCTCGTTGACGCAGCCCTGCAGTGAGAGGTTGAGCGAGCAGCAGGAGATCATCAGTCTCTTCCCGAGTTTCTCATCGAATGGCTGGACAGAAGCAGACTCCATCCTGGGACTCCTCAAAACCTTCAACACAAAGCATGCGTTTCTCACACGCCAAAATAACAACCACGGTGAAATGCCCTGCACAAAACCCCCAAACAATACAAGAAAGTCTGTTCCACAGCCGTGAGACGTACAGGAATATCAGGATCCAGAGAGAACAGGTTGAGTCTTTCCTCTCCTCTGGCAGCTCTCACGGCAAAATCCACTATCGGTCGACCTCTATTCTAAATACTTTGGTTAAGCCTAAATTAAATCTGTTCATCATATAAAGCGATTGTATCTCTTTATATGACTTGGATTAAAAAGCTCTATTCATATCTTTTTAGCTCTGGGCAACGATTAATCGCATCCAAAATAAAAGACATACACATAGAGTATATATTTTGAAAATATTTACATGTATTTATATATTTACATTCATATAATTTATATTACATATAAATATATTTAATATATACACATTACATATATTTCTTAAATATATGCATGCATGTGTTTGTATTTATATATACACAATAAATGTACACAGCACACCAGCCGTGAGACGTACAGGAATATCAGGATCCAGAGAGAACAGGTTGAGTCTTTCCTCTCCTCTGGCAGCTCTCACTGATTCCTCGGTCTCAGAAATATACTGAAACATCAAAACATCAGTGTTAATCATGTGCAGTGCTCTTATGACATACCATTAGTTACATGTTTATGTCTATAAATGTTTTGTTTCAGGTGTTTTTAAGATTCTAAACAGTAAAAGAGTGACACTCACTGAAAGGATCATGAACTATGTGAACAAAAACTTTTATTTTGGATGCGATTAATCGCGATTAATCGTTTGACAGCACTAATATATATATATTGTGGCCAAAATGTATTTGAAATATATGCTAAATATATGTTGCAAACAATAAAGCTCAGTGAAATACATTTTTGACACTGAAAATATATTTAGTTTCAACCTTCATATACTAAAATATATTTGTAAATGCATTTCAGGGGCAAGAAAATACATTTCAGTAGCCTTTTATTTAAGCTAAATACAAATGTGGATGGCCAAAATTAGATTAATAAAGATTAATCAAATATATGAATGCATTTTCTTGGACTGAAATATACAGGGGTCAAATACAAAAAGGGCCAAAATATATTAGTAGAAAATATATTTGCATAAACATATTAGAAAACAAATTTTAGCAAATATATTTTTTTGTTTATTTTGAAATATATTTAAAAAAAAATATTTTTTGCTGCATGTGAATGTGCGCTTATAATGTATAATGATTTTTTTCCTTGTTCTACCCTGATTTTAGCCCTCTGATTTAATAACTCTGTTCAAAGGTGAGTGAATCAAAGCCCATTTCCTTTTTTCAGAAAGAGGCTGTAATGACTGTGTCTCTAGGATGTAACAAGACAGAATTACAAAGCATTAATTACCTTGGCCAGCTCAGGGTGGATTCCGTTTTCAGCTGTTTCCTCATTTTTTTGAACAGGGACATGATTCAATGACGCATCAATGCTCTCTGAACAACAACAACAACAAAGAAACATTTTAGCTGAAAATGCGATAAACAAAAGCACAATACAAACATATAGTGATCATCACAGATTCCACTAATTGTATAGTGGATAGTTTCTGTGTCAGGTGATCCTTCATCCTTTTAGCTCAGCGCACCGGCTAAGTATGAGAAGGATCTAAAAGAAAATGATGTGAATTAGGGAGATTATCAGCTGACCTATCTGAAGGATTTGTGAGATCACTTGTAGAGCCTTTTAAGAGCTTTTTCACACAGCAGTTCCTTAGCAGACCTTATAAACACTTAATCATCTTACAGTTTGATCAATATGCATCGGTTGCATACAATGCCTATCAAATAGGCGATATATCTTACTAAATTAAATTTGGTGGTTCAAACAGGTCTCAGGAGAAACAATTAACAATAAATAAATGAATGAAGTTTTAGACAGCTTTGTCTAAAGAATTTGTTTAATGTATTTTTTTTTTTTTTTCCTATGCATTTTTAAAGTACCTTATCATTGAAAGAAATAATGAATCATTTGAAAATGTTCTATTTGATTATAGAATCACACCTTCATCCTCTTTAAATTAAAATCCTTAAAATATGTGGCCTCAGTTTTTGGGGGGAGGCTCTTGTTTTGAAAAAGGGCCAGAGAACTGTGGATCTTATAGGCCAATTTCCTTGTTGGACATCGACCTTAAGTTGCTTTCCAAAATCCTTGCGCTACGGCTGGAGAAAATACTTCCTTCTATCATTAATGGAGGCCAAACAGAGTTCATCAAGGGTAGAAGTTGCAGTCATAATATTACGCCTGTTTCACACATGATCCGATTGCAGCACGTCTGCAGTATGTTCTGCAGTACATATGCACTACAGAAGCTCACTGTGTTTTCACATTAGATGTGTTTACAGCGCACGAGCCTGAGCCTCGCTGTTCCAAGTTTGAGAAAAGGTGACTGTCAATAACTATATGCATTTATGGAAAAATTACTACATTTTCATTTTGACCATGAACAATGCGCTCACTTCAATTCAATGTGTGCAGCATTGCAAAAACAGACTCGGTGCAGAAATGATCGTTGCACTGATCCAGCAATGCATTTTCTGCGCCGCATCTGTGTGCACGAAAAAAAATCCATAATGCATATGTACTGCAAACAGATCTTGTGTGAATCGTCACTAACCTTTCTTGCAAATGCAACATTGACACACATACAAAATAATGCACCTCATTCCTTCTGTACTTCAGCGCTTCGTGCTTTGTAAGCACTCACCTTGTTTGCTGTCGCTCAGGTCCGCACTCTTGCGGTCCAGAGCCGGGCCGTCCGGAGGGCTGATCTGCAGGATGCGTGTGAGAGTGTTGATCCAATCATCCATGTCTTGCTCGTTCTCGGCAGCCAGGACAAAATATGTCACTTCGTTCATTTTCAACTCAAAGGCGTGTTTCCTCAGGCGGTTATTCTGTGTGAACCCAGAGACCATAATAAATATCAGTCACTGGTCACCTCATTGTTAATGTTTGCTGAACCGCTTTAAAAACATATATTTACCGACCTGAACCACACCGGTGCACGAGTCCAGAAATATACAGCCTTTAGGTTCCTTTGATATCTTCTCATCTTTATAGAAGTTCATGATGTAAGAGTTGTCAGTTAGCTGAGTCAACTGAAAATATCTTCGCTTGAAGGACTGGAAAAGAAAGTAAAAGTGACGTGACATGTGGCCAAGTATGGTTACCCATACTAGGAATTAGTGCTCTGAATTTAACCCATCCTAAGTGCACACACACAGCAGTGAACACACACCCGGAGCAGTGGGCAGCCATTTATGCTGCGGCGCCCGGGGAGCAGTTGGGGGTTTGGTGCCTTGCTCAAGGGCACCTCAGTCATGGTATTGAAGGTGGAAGAGAGTGCTGTACATTCACTCCCCCCACCTACAATACCTGCTGGACCTGAGACTCGAACTCACAACCCTTGGGTTATGAGTCCGACGCTCTAACCATTAGGCCACGACTTCCCCCAAAAGCACAAGCGTCAAGAACAAGCAACAGGCAATCAGCAATATTTTTCACTCAAGTAGTTCTTCTGACAATATAGAATTTGTAAAAATAAAAAAACCTGAATGAAAATTAGATAAACTTAGAGAAGAGAGAAGTCTACCATTCTAGAAAACACAGTCTGACAGAATGAAAGCATCAGTACAACTATGTAAGTACTCAGGCCATCCAAGATTAGGATGAGTTTGGTTCATCATCAGATTTGTAGAAATGTAGCATTGGATGCTCTGCAGTGAATGGGTGCCGTCAGAATGAGAGTCCAAACAGCTGATAAAAACATCACAATAATCCACAAGTAATCCACAGCACTCCAGTCCATCAGTTAACATCTGGAGAAGCCAAAAGCTGAAACAAATCCAGCATTAAGACGTTTTTAACATCAAACCGTTACTTCTGGCTAAAATATGAGTCCATAATCCATAATAACGCTTCCTCCAGTAAAAAAAAGTCCATCTCCTGTTGTCTCTCACATCAGAATCCAGCCACATATTTGTTTAGAGATGTTTAAACGCTGTTTGATCTGTGCAGATTTCTCTCCTGATTCAGACCAGACCACTTTTTCACTGGAGGAAGCGTTATTATGGATTATGGACTCGTATTTTAGTTAAAAATGTCTGAATGCTGGATTAGTTTCAGTTTTTGTCTTCTCCAGATGTTAATTGATGGACTGGAGTGCTGTGGATTACTTGTGGATTATTGTGATGTTTTTATCAGCTGTTTGGACTCTCATTCTGACAGCACCCATTCACTGCAGAGCATCCATTGCTGAGACACTGATGCAATGCTACATTTCTCCAAATCTGATGAAGAAACAAACTCATCCTAATCTTGGATGACAATGTTCATTTTTAGATAAATTATTATTTTAAGTGAACCCTTAATCTAGTATTTTTTCCCTTCTGACATACACATAAAATGATCACACATTCACAAATTCCTAGTCAAATGCAGACACGTGAGACGGTGTGTGAAAGACGTGCACTCTCACCCGGACAGTGATACTGTTGTTGACAGTGCTGTTAAAGTTGCCTTTATAGAGCCAGCCGGACTTAAAAACCCCGATGCCCCCTGCACCTCCACTCCCTGCTCCACCTCCTCCGCCTTTAGATGATGACAGAGAAGTTGTGTCCTACACACAAAAAATACATAAATAAAATATGTTACAACGAATTATAAAAAATTATAAAGTGCATTTGGGAATTTAACACACTCCAACTTAGCTTTACTTTCACATTTACATAATTTCCAACATTTTTATAGACAGAAGGCCATATGAATCTTTCTGTAAATTCAGCTTGATGCATCGTGCTGACCTCATCTTTGTCCACCTCTTCATGGTCGATCTCAAAGGAGTGCGAGGGCAACTTCTCTGATTTACACAGCTTCCTATCAGGCAGAAGAATTACGGAGAGAGAGAAAAGAATCACTGTCATCCACTATGATCAGGAAGAGAAGAGCAGGAGAGCATTTCCACCAGCAGTTTGGTTTTGGATATGTGGTTCTGCCGATTTAATGTTTAATAACTATAATATTCATTTGCATATATTATTAACAGCAAAGAAAATTACTTGTACAACAGTTCGTGATAATATTGTCACCTTCTAACATTTTCAGGAAGGCAGGAATACATTTTATTATAAATATACAGTATATCACATCACATATATATATCATATCTCTTTTGAATATTATTATACATATTTCAAAAGAGATGTTTCATGCATCACTACTTGCATTCATCCACAAAAACAAAAGAGTCAGTAACAAGGCCATTTTGAATGCATTACGCACAAGCCAGTCTAAAACACTTCAAAAAAAAGAAGGAAAGAAAGTAGAAAAACCCCTCAAGCATCAGTGTGCTGATAAATCTTGCGCTCCCATTCAAAGAGGTGGTATTTTCCACATAATGTGCTGTTTTCACTCCTTTCAGTGAGCTTTATTCTGACAGGACCCCACACACCGGTGTCCTTTCTGCTGCCTGCCTCAGTGCTCTTGTAAAGCAGAGCTCTTTGTGTCTGTCCTGTGTGGCAGTTTATCCAGCACAAACACACACCACACACACTTTCTGTCGACTTGCGTCACTCTCTGCTCTGTAACAATGTGCCTGAGCTGCCATAAGTTCACAGCACCAGTGTTTTGTCACTGCATGTCGCTAGTCTCTGCACATCTGGACATATACAAATGCAATCACAGGTAATATATTGCAGGTAAAACTAAAACTAAGGAATTTGTTTTCTTGTCACTAAAAAGTAACTTTCTGCTGTTGGAACGTGTTGTTATAAACTTCAGCAGTGTTAGTGCACTAAACCTGACGACCGATCTATCAATACACCATTTAAACTCACTCTGCCAAAAATTCCCAAAAACATCATACATATGGCTCTCTGTAAGAAATAATAATATAATTATACAGATTAAGCATTGTTGTTAAATAACTGTGTAAAATAATTTAATATGTTTAATATAATATTGCAAAGTGATGGTGATGTCATTTCCAGCAATGGCTGTTTCTGTCATGCAATATTGAAGTGATACGGTTTTTGACTGTGTAGCATTTTCCAATGCATTTTGTTAATAAACTTTACCTAATAGTGCTGGGAAGATTACTTTGGAAAGGTAACAAAAGGTTACAGAGTACAAGTTACCCTATTTAAGTATTGTAACTATTTAAATTACTTTATTAAAATAATGTAACTGATTACATTTGATTATCTTTTGATTACTTTTCTAAATTTCCATTTTTCGATTTCTACATTTTTCTAATCTGTTGATCATTTTGAAACATTTAAGACAGGCAGGGTTAGCCTTACAGTAGTGCTCAACACTGACTACTGTCAGACTCTTCTTCACTTGAATTAAGATTAGAATAATTTAATTTAAAGCACAGCCGCCACAAAATCAGACTTCAGCACTTCTTTTTACTTTGAGATTGTTCTGAGGTTAATGCAATTTGGGAAATAAATCAATCATATCTGTATGTGTGTGAAAACGTTAAGATGTAACCCCCTTTGTAATCTTTAACATTTTCATAAGTAACTGTAATTTGATGACACAGATTAGTTACATTTATTTTGGGTAACACTTTATTTAAAGGTGTCCTTGTTACACGTTACATGTACTTAATACTATAATTACAATTAATTATACACAATTACATCGAAGTAACCCTAAGCCAAACCCTAATCCTAAACCTAACCATATAGTAAATACATGTAGTTAACTAATATTACTCAGTACTTAAAAGTATAATTACACTGTAACAAGGACACCTTAAAATAAAGTGTAACCTTATTTTGTAATCAAATTATGTAATTCTGTTACATGTAACTAGTTAATCCCCAACACTGGTTACTGGACTATTGAATGTTATTCAAGTTCAAATCACACTCGCATATGAAGAAGAAGCAACAAATATATACAACAAATACATACTGACACAGTTTTCTACTGGCTATCGCTTCTGAAAGTTGCTCCTCATTTGCATAAAGTTCAATATTTCTCAACTTTCTCAAGCAGCTGGACACGCCCGCATACTCTTCTCAAACGAATAGGATCACGCCGTTTTGTCTCTGTGTTTTGCTGGCGGTGTGAACAGGGCTATAAATGTTGGAAAACAGGCTTCTGAAGGATCTGAGGCAAAAGAACAGCCTGCCTGCAAATCACCACTGGGCAGTCCAATCTTGTCCAAGCTAATAAGAGGTCATTTCTCAGTTTTGTCTTTGTCAAGCAAGGCACTTATTTTTGAATTTTTAAAATCCCCATTTAAATCCTCATCTGTAAAAAAGTGAATGGAGTTGTACCTGGGCAGCGTGCGGTAGTCCCCTGCATGGTCTTCATATTTATACTGGATCACATGCAGCTGGGAGTTGTAATATTGACAGGCCTATAGAAGAAAAAAAACCGAAACAGGCAGAGGTTCATCCAACTGTAAGAGCTAAAAGACAAAAAGCACAAAAGTATTCACGGCAATTCGAAAACCCTTCAGAATGTTAAGGGTGTCATTTATGTGTTAAGTTAATGACTGCTCGAATATTAAATATGTTTGATGTAAATTTCAAAGGGTAAACATTTTCTAAACAACAAATAAGCAAAAATAAAACAGTTTTACAATTTTTTTCCTTCTGACAAATGAACAGGTATCTGTTACTGCCAGCATTTTAATGTTTAATATAATTCTAAGCAGTTTAGAGATTCTGCACCCAAACATGGTCCTTTATAAAAGCTTGTGCAAACCATAGACAAAAGCACATCCAACTATATTATTTTTTCTGCTATACACTATTTTAGTACTGTGTTAGGTCTCGTAATGTCCCGTCAGGTTCTGAACCACTGGAAACTTAAACGTATATGAAACTTTTGGTGGTTCAATGAATGGATAAAAATGATGAGTTAATATTAAAAATATCTACGCTGGTGTTCTTCTACATGTTAACTGAAGTATTAGTAAGAAATCTGGATGACATAAGGGTGAGTAAATGATGGCAGTTTTCATTTCTGGCTGATGTTTCTCTTAAACAAAGCTAAGTACCGTTATATGGCAAAAATCATTAGGATATTAAGTGAAGAAACTTAATTTTTGATTAGTAATATGCATTGCTAAGAACTTAATTTGGACAACTTTAAAGATGATTTTCTCAATATTTAGATTTTTTTGCACCCTCAGATTCCAGATTTTCAAATAGTTGTATCTCAGCCAAATACTGTCCTATCCTAATAAATGTATAAATCTCAATTTCAGAATTTGTGGTCCAGGGTCACATATAGCATTACTATACTATATATTTTATATAGGCCCTATATATAGGGGTTGGGCTATGAAACTGAAGCATTGGCCAAAGCTGTACATGCACGGCCTGGTGGCCAAACGCCACTGATTTCACGCAGCATCAGTAAGAGCAGAGTGTGAAGGTGGAATTAGCGCTCTGGTGTCATGAAAGTGAAGGTGAACATCTCCCATGGCCTGCTCAGTCTCCAGACCTGAACTCACCTGTCTGACCAGCAGACATTCAGCGTGTGTGTCGGATCCCTCTGGCACGGTGGACTTCAGCGTTCTCCGCTCCACAGGAAGAGTGGACACCTGGAGTCACACAAACACACAAAACAAACTGAGTCTGGATTCAACAAGAAGCTAGCTGGAGCGAAACCAAATGCAGCATGCAAGACGTGTGAGTGTGATGATGATGATGATGGGTTTCATTATACTTTTTTCACTGGAATCATTTTTGCTTTTTCTGTCATGTAAACAACTTAAACATAATAAGCAGTCGACACAGCGATATTTGTGCCCATGACCCTGATTTGACGTGTAAACACCGTGACCTGCGTTCTGCTGGTTTACTGAAGTGCAGACGTCTGATATGTGACAGGAAAGCATCCATATTCAGCAGATTTAAGCGCATCCAGCCAGAGCAAGTGTTTCACGGTTAAAAAGGAGTAAATGTAATACAAACTTTGAATTTTTCTTGACCAAAGAAATTATCAAAAATATATTCGCATCTCATGCTGCTAAAGAAGCGGTACAGTCGTAAAACTTCGAATACGAGAGGAGAATGAGTCTGTGCAAGTTTCCCGCTGACATTTGTGAGCCTGGAGCACAAAAGCAGTCTTAAGTCACTGGGGTATATTTGTAGCAATAGCCAACAATACATTGTATGGGTCAAAATTATACATTTTTCTTTTATGACAAAAATCATTAGGATATTAAGTAAAGATCACGTTCCATGAAGATATTTTGTCAATTTCCTACCGTAAATATATTCAACTTAATTTTTGATTAGTAATATGCATTGCTAAGAACTTCATTTGAACAACTTTAAAGATGATTTTCTCAATATTTAGATTTTTTTGCACCCTCAGATTCCAGATTTTCAAATAGTTGTATCTCGGCCAAATATTGTTCTTATTCTAATAAACCATACATCAATGGAAAGCTTATTTATTCAGCTTTCAGATGATGTATAAATCTCAATTTAAAAAAATTGACCCTTATGACTGGTTTTGTGGTCCAGGGTCACATTTTGTAATGCTTTATTTAACATCACAGCTCAAAAAACAAAGAATATGGTAGTAATCCATTGAGTTTCTCATATTTATTGCTTCTTTTTCATATATGAGTGTGATTTGAGCTTGAATAACATCCAATAGTCCAGTAACAACTTTTTATTAAGACTAAATCATCTGAAGAGCATACGCATTGAGAGTAGATAAACTGTTCTGGCATCATAAGGGACTTTTCCTCTAGAAAAAGCCATAGAATTATTTGTTTATTATTTTCCCCCCCACTGGTAAATAACCAATTTAATAACCATAACCTTAAAATAACCATAAAAATAACCATACTTGCATCACTGGGATAATTTACATGCACTGGTAAATTCAATAAATTGATTTTTGGTAGTTATCTGTGTATTGGTGTGCTCAATGTTGATGACAAGACAATATATATATTTTTTTTCAGAATATTCAGTCCAGATGGTGATATGACATTTTCTTTTATGTTTTACAGGAAACTGTTTTTCTTCGAGACACACAATACAATACAATACAAATTTTATTTCTATAGCACATTTAAAACAACTGCCGTTGACCAAAGTGCTTTCCAGCAACATTACATACAGTCACACAAACAAGATACAACATTAAAATATAAAACCTGCTCCCTCTAATCAATTCTAAAAGCTCTACCAAAAAGGTACGATTTCAATCTAGACTTAAAAGCGTCCACAGATGGGCAAGATTTAATGTGCATTGGGAGAGGGTTCCATAAGCGAGGAGCAGCCACTGCGAAAGCCCTATCACCCTTTGATTTTAATCTCGTTTTGGGAACATGAAGAATCATCTGATTCGAAGATCTCAAGTTTCTTGAATTTTGATAAGGAATCAGTAGGTCAACAATATATTTTGGAGCAATGAATAATAGTCTCCAGATCCTTAAAAGAGATAAATGTTTTCAGTTTAGAAATAATTCTGAGTTGATAAAAGGCAGCCTTCACAACACTAGTAACCTGTTTATCTAAAACTAAGGCTGAATCCATTACACCCAAATTCTTAACATGATCTGAAACACTTATATTCATAGCGGCCAACCTACTTATAATTTCCTTGGAAGCAGAAGAAGGTCCAAATACAACACACTCAGTCTTATTAGTATTAAGATGAAGAAAACTGCTTGCCAACCAGGCTCTTATGCTGCAATAAAATACCATGATCAACGGTATCAAAAGCAGCTGTGAGATCAAATAAAATAAGAATAACTACCTTTCCTGAATCAACTGCCAATAAAATATCATTAAAAACCTTAAGAAGGGCGGATTCTGTACTATGAAGAGACCTAAAACCTGACTGGAACATATTTATAACAGCATTCATATCTAAATAGAGTATGACGCAAGCTGAGACAGAACAACCTTCTCCAAAATTTTCTATAAGAAAGGTAGTTTCGATATAGGTCGGTAATTACTTAAAACAGTATAATCCAAATTTGGTTTCTTAAGAAGTGGCTGCACTACTGCATGTTTAAAACAAGCAGGAACATTTCCATTAATTAAACTACTATTAAAAAGAGATTGAAGAGTTTTACCTAAAAGATCAAACAATTTTAACAACAGCCGAGGAGGAAGAGGATCAGACGGATGTGCAGCAGGTCTAGTGTGCCTTAATATATGCTCCAACTGAGGTAAAGAAATAGGTTCAAAACTACTAAATTAACTCTGATGATTTAACTCAGAATGAAAGGTCGTTACTGGTATAATCTGTGATCGAAGATTATCAACTTTGTTTACAAAGAATTGCAAAAAATCCTCACACATCTTTTGAGTAGCCTCGAGACAATTAGTAGGCGCAGGAAAAATCACTTTATTAATCGTATTAAATAAAATATTAGGCTTGTTTGAGTTCTTATTAATTATATTCGAGAAATATTTTGCTTTTGCAACCTTCACAATAGACTGAAAATTTGTCAAAGCTTCTCTTAACATATCAAATGATACTTGCAGCCTATCCTTCTTCCATTTTCGTTCAGCCCTTCTGCAAATTTTCCTTGACGTACGGATTTCATCATTCATCCACGGCTGTGATTGTTTTTTTGATTCCCTATATTTTAAGGGTGGAATCTCATGTAACATTTCTGTACAAACCGAATTAAAAGAATTAAAATACCCATCCACACTAAGACCCGGAGAAGAAAACTCTAAATCATGACAGAAAGATGAGGCAACAAAGGCCTTTGAAAATGTATCAACAGTTGAAGTATTGTTGAAGTATACTTACAGCAGGACTATGGCTAAGCTCCTGGAAGCAAATGTTAATACACTATTACCTTTATGTATATGCTGCATCATAATCGCACAATTTCATGCACACAGTTATTTTTATTTATTTATTTATTTATTTTGTAGCTAAAAATTAAATTAAAAAAAGCTACTTTAGTATTTGTCAGAACTACAAAAATATGCACAAATATTACTCCCTTTGAACTGACTAATTCAGTAAACCGAAGAAGTATCTAGATGGAGTAAACTTTGTTTTAGAGGAAAAGTCCGTTATGATGCCAGAACAGTTGAACTCCCTCAGTACTGTACGTCACTCTCAATGGACACACTCCTCATATGATTTATTCTTTCTTGCACCACTGTTCACCACAGTTTGTTCTTCACCAAGAAGGGCTTAAAAATAATGTTTTCCAGGGGTCAAGTCAGATAAATCTATTGGGAAATGCAGTGCTGACATTTCACCTCATTTAACAGTAAGCAGGGTCAGAAATTAATGAGGGCTTGGGGGCAAAAATGCCGTTAAAATGAATAAAATGCCACCAGAAATTCAAGATATGGGTGCAAAAATATGAGTTCTTGTTTTTTGTATTTATAATATAGTCCTGCAATACCACACAAGCAAGAATGTGGTGGTTACTGGTGGCCTACTGGCGGTTTTAATTTAGTTTCATATTTAACAATATCACTTTTTAGTAATTTCATTTTGCTATTTTTAAATTTCATTTTTAAAACATTAATCTCAGAGAATTATTTATGCAGTCGTAATTGCAATGTAAATGCATTCATTTCACCTTAGCTGCAATAAAATGTCTCGGGTTACTTATGTAACCATGGTTCCCTGAGTAGGGAACGAGACACTGCGTCCTCTAGGGGTCGCTATGGGGAACGCCTCGTCGTGACCCGTGTCTGAAGCATACATTGAAAAAACACCAACTCATTGGCCGGCGACAGCCATGACGTCACTACCGGTGCGACTATAGTATAAGCTCATCATACGCAGGGCAGGAGGATTGGGAAGGCTCAGCCTCAGCTTCTTTGCCCTCCTCAGACATTTCCTGCTTACAGGCTTGTTTAGCCTGTACATGCTCCCACTATGTCAAATGAGCCCTAGAGGACGCAGTTCGAAGTTCCCATGAAAGGGAACTGTCGGTGTAAAAACATCTAAATGCAACTTCCAGCTTGTGTGCCAATTATGCTATGCAAAGTTGGATTATGTTGATGTTGCTTTCATTTGATTGGTGCATGTGTGATAGTGTCTTATTATTCTTATTTTATTTAAAATTCAACTTGATTAAATTTAAATTGTTAGTTCACCCAAAAATGAAAATTATCAACGCACAGAAACGTAGCAAGGACATCGGTAAAATAGTCCATGTGACATCAGGGGTTCAACGTAATTACGTTCAGTAGAAAGCGCGCGCATGCTGAACGTAAACAACGCAAATTACGTTGATTATGTTCTGGGGTACTCTCCAAAATGGTGGAAGACGGTAACTCGGTGAGAAAAAAAATATCTTAATTTGTGTTCCGAAGATCTCACGGGTTTGGAACGACATGAGGGTGAGTAATTAATGACAGACATTTTTGGGTGAACTAACCCTTTAAGAATTTGAGAAAAGATACTTTTTTTTTTCTTTTGGAATTTTTTTTTTCTCCTTAATGGAAAATTTGTGGTTAATTTGTGTCACTTATGGTAAAAGATCATCTTTACTTAAATGCTTAAAGCTTATGTTATGGCTTTGATTCTATGTGGAGAAAGGTCTTTGTCCATCTATCTATGTAATATAATATAATATCTATATCTACCTTTATAATCCTTTGCTTTTGTATAATGAACCTGAAATTATTTTTTCATAACAAAACAGAAAGGCACATGATGCATAACAAACAAAATATGTCTAACTCTCCTGAACACTAAATATACTATTAAAATGTTTCTTAGTTATACAGTATTTTAGTTACATATCCCTCGTTTTTTATTGAATCTTTGTGAAATATATCAAATTACACAAGTTTTTCCGAGATGAGCATGACTGTCTAAACTGGAATCAGGAATTTTCGTTTTGGTGTCTTTAATCCTCTCAGAGTCATTTTACATGTTGCTTCATGGAGTTCTGAAGCGAGAACAACCTTAGTAAGCTCGTTTCATTTGCTTGCAAAGCAGATTTTTAGTCTTGTGCTGTTAACTTTGCTGCTCAGCGCAACTGTCTGCTGCGTATTTTCTAATAAAGAAATATAGAATACATAGCTCTCCCCAGCTGTTTCATTAACTTTCATTAAGCGTCCCATGTCTCCGAGCACGTTGATGGTTTGCATGAAAAGCTGAGGAGGTAACGCAGTGCAGGAAGCACAACTTCACAAGCCTGTGTCTTCTCACTGCAGCACACTAAAAGCAAAGCGACACGGACAAAACTGCTACATTCTAGCACAATATACAATATAGAAATACATTATAATTTTTATTTTCTATTAGGCCTATATTCGTGCTTAGTCTGTAGTGCTCCGGACAAATCTGATGCCAGAACTGTAATTGTGGAAAACACATAAAAAAACTACTGTTAGGATTTACTAAAATAAGCAATGAAAGGGTATAGACATACTTATTTTTGCAGCCTGCCTTATTGCATATGCATTTGTAAGAGTTTCCCTTTCAGATGCAATATTTAGGAGAGGAGAGTATTTAAATAAATCATGCAAGGCAATTTACCAAGGTTTGCAGTAGTCAAGTGCCCCCCAAAAAAGCACGTTTTAACCCATTTTGTGCCTGGGTTGTTAGCAGATTACACGCACATGATTGTTGGCTCTAGCTAATTTGTGCTGCTCTTGGTGGATTGCATTGGTCATTATGGAACTAATCTGCATCTGTATTTAATTTGCACATTGTCAGTAAAACACCCACAGAACTTTCCACTTCCATTTGTGCTTTTATGTGATTGCGGTCTCAAACTAATTTGTTCCCACTCTGCAAGCATTTCACACCTCTCTCTAGTATGAGACATAGTATTCATTAATCTTTTGTTTTATTCATCCATGCCTTTATTCTGACATTGCTTGCCAGAGCCAGAGTGTGGCTCATTTTCATAAAACATAACATAAAACATAACTGTATAAATTACAAATTAGAGTTAGGGGTTAAAAAAATCATTTTACAAGAGAACAAAACAGTAACACACATAGAGCACCTCACTTATGGTCAACACAGATGCTCAAACGAGGGTGTGTGAAGCATGAGAACCAGTAAGGTTCGTTCTAGTGTGTCATACGCCACAGGAGCTTTAGTGTTTACCTTTCTAATGCACTCTATACATGTGTGTTTGTATGTATGTCAAGAAAAGCCGAAATTTAAATCTGTTCATCATATAAAGCAATCGTATCTCTCCACAAGACGCTCTATTGATATGGATTCATTTTTTGACACCTTTATGATGCTTTTGGACCTAAGTTTTGATTACCTGGACTTTAAGAGGGAGGAAGCAGAAACCATATATATAAATACATAAATTGTGCATTGAAGATTAACCAAAGTTTGTATTGTCCCTTTAAGCTGTGTCGTCAGCAAGTCATTTCCTATCAAGCCTATAGTTAGTGCAGTCGGAGGAAAGCAACTGCAACATCTGGCTCAGCCGTCTCTTGAGTTTTTTGCATACATCAGCATGACATCAGAGCAATATAGCTCATCTCAAACGAGCCTGCTGTTTGCAGATATCACAGAAATGAAGTGCTACAAACTGAATTCTACCTGACTCAAAATGGTCTGTGACTTCTCTTATAAAGCAGCCCTCCAAAAAAAGAAGAAGAAAAAAAAAAAAGTTTATCTTGAACATAATCTGAGTTTATTCAGCATATTAAAGTCTCTCCTCCATTGACATCCATTTAAAAAAAGGGTCTCTCATCACCTGCCCAGTGTACCGCAACAAGTTTTTTTTTTTTTTTTTGCCAACCTTAGAGGCTCTGATTTAATTAAGATATGCGCTTGGGGGAGATGTAGCTTCCCCAACCACATGTGCTTTTATTTTGGAAAAATGATGCAGTACTTTCCACACGATTCACTGTTTATAGTGACCATGTCCGTCAGTCTCCAAAAATATAACACAAGTTGTAATATCCACAGCAAAATCTACTCATAACAGTTCCACCATCCACCAGTAGAGGTCCCAATCACATCTGACATGCATTCATGATACGCTGCATCTGGAATTCATTAACGCTGTGTATATATATTCACTGTGCCCAGCGCTTGCCCTACTGCCGGTTTCTCTGGATTATTCAGCTTGATTGCTGATTTGGATTTGTTGGCGCTGCCTTTCTGGTTTTAAGCTCTCTATTTTTCAACATGAACACAGCAATATGAGGTGCTATGTTTGTGTGTGCTCACTGAGAAAAGTCGCATAAGCCATGTTTATATTTGTGCCATGTAAAGGCCAGATCTATGTGTGAAAGAGGATGTGGTCGGAAAGGCCTTGGCTGTTTTCAGTGCTGCACACAGGGAGAAGTTTTAACACATACGCAAGCATGCACACAGTCATTCAACACCTACTTCATGACTTTTTTGTAAATTTCCACACCTTTAAAAAAAAGACCCTTTTTAGAGCACTTTCAAAATGTCAAAAAAACACATCATCACGGGATGTAAATGCGTGAACGCCACAGATACGCACAAGCAAACACTTGCACACAAAGAGAGAGCGAAGCACTCACAGTGAAGTCGAAGTCTGGGAATAGCAGGAGATCTTGAAGAGGATCTTCTCTGAGCTCAGGTTCAAGCTCTGAAATCACAGCCTCATAGTCCAGAGGGTCGATCAGTTTGGGCTTCTCCTGCTGGGAGATACAAAGAAAAACATATCATCACCAACAATATCAGAATGCAAGAGTGTCAGCACTTTTCACAAGGACAGTACACTTATTTTAAATTTGTACTGAATGTTAAAACTGCTTAAAGGGGTCATAAAGATGCTATTTCAATTTTTCCTTTCTCTTTGGAGTGTTACAAGCTGTTCGTGAATAGATAAGATCCCTAAAGTTGCAAAGACTAAAGTCTCAAAGCCAAAGAGATATTCTTTATAAAAGTTAAGACTCTTCCACACCCTCCTAAATCGCCTCATTCAAACACGCCCCCACATGTCTACATCACTGTGTGGGAAGATTTGCATAATGCCGCCCAAATGATTACGCAAAGAAAGAAGGCGTAACTTTGATTCTCGCTGTAGTATTGTATCCGCCGCCGCCGTGTCGTGGAGACGCTGTGTGTTTCTAAATATGGTAAGGGGCGTAACATTTCCGTCACATGCTTGAGGTATTCATCCAATCACAACGCACTGGATAGCTGGCCAATCAGAGCACACGGCGTTTTTCAGAATCATGAGCTTTGTAAAAATCTACGTGTTTCAGATAGGTGAGGTAGAGAGGAGCGACAATAATGTACGATATGTGGAAAACAATGTGTTTTTTGAACCTTAAACCACATTGCATTTCACCAAATACACAAAATAATGTGATTTTTAGCAACGTCGTATGACCCCTTTAAATGTATCTTTGTATGCGCTTGCATCATCTCCGATGATATAGAGTGTAAATTAGGGTAACCGGCAACACATTATTGGTCCCTTTGCATCAGACTATTACTGGCAACAATGCAACCAATGATCAAAAGTAATGAAATAAATACGTAAATAAAAATACAGATGAAAAATAAATTGGAGGGGGAGGTCTCCGACTCTGAAGGCTGCTATACTTTGTTTTGTGTGTTCTATAAAGGGTAATCATATTGTCCATTCAGAAAGTACCCAGATGACACACACTGATTGGGGGATTTTCTGCCATGTTTTGTATCAGATCCTCTTCTGCTGTGTCAGGTTGAACAGAGATGTTTGATTGGGTTCAAGTCTGGTCTCTGACTGGGCCACTCAAGGACACTCACAGAGTCGACCCTAAACTACTCTTGGTTTGTGTGCTTAGTGAACCTTCTGCCCAGTCCGAGGTCATTAGCTCTCTGGATCATGTTTTCATTAAGGAATGACCAGTTCCCCAGTCCCAGTCTCTGAAAACCACCATCCTTCATCAGCAGAAAGCTATTGTGCAGGTGATAAGCAGTGCTTGGGTTCCTCCAAACACGATGCTTGGAGTTGAGGTTCATCAAACCACAGAATCCTGCTCTCCCGGCTGCTCAGTTGGGCGACTAGATCTAGGAATAGTGCTGGTTGATCAAAAAAATTCACTGTGCTATTGGAAAGCCTTAAAGGGATAGTTCTACCAAAAAGGAAAATTCTGTCGTTAATTACTCACCCTTTGGAACATAAATTAAGATATTTTTGATGAAATCTGAGAGAACTACCATGGTCAAGGCACAGAAACACACTGTAGTAAGGACATCGGTAAAATAGTCCATGTGACATCAGAGGTTCAACCGTAATTTTACGGAGCTTCCAGAATACTTTTTTGTGCGCAAAGAAAACAAAAATAATGGCTTTATTCAATTTCTTCTCTTCCGTGTCAGTCTTCGCCGCGTGTTCACAACAGTACCATGACGCACAAAAAGCATTCTTGTAGCTTCATAAAATTACGGTTGAACCACTGATGTCACATGGACTATTTTAATGATGTCCTTACTATATTTCTGGGCCTTGAACGTGGTAATACCCTTTCTGTCTATGCACGGTCAGAAAGCTCTCGGATTTCATCAAAAATATCTTAATTTGTGTCCTGAAGGTGAATGAAGGTCTTACGGGTTTGGAACCACATGATTTATTACTTTAGTACAGCAAATTTTTGTGTAGTCGTCTTTAGATCTGCGCATTGAAACAATCTCACCTCTGAGATCTGAGGCAGCTCTTTTGACTTCATTTTTTTGCTCTCCTATGCATCTTAGGTTATTTAATAGACACATAAAGATATCATGTCAATCAACTGAATTTGCCACAGGTAGACTCAAAGTCTAAGTGTAGAAGCATGTCAGAGCTGTGGCCCAGTTGTCTATGCCTTAGGTCTTCAACCCTGCTCCTGGAGACACACTGTCCTGCAAAGTTTGTTTCCAACCTGCTTCAATGCACCTTCCTGTGATTTTTCAAAAGCAATCCTGAAGAGCTTGATTCGCTGGTTCATGTGTGTTTAATTAGGGCTGGAGCTAAACTCTGCTGGACAGTGGGTTTGCAGGAGCAGGATTGAAGACCCCTGGTCTATGCTCATGACATGTATGCGGTTGACCTCAGTTTGATTCCAGGCTTGCGCGGTCCTTTTCTGGTGCCAATCCTCGACTCTTCTCCCCTGCTATTCCTTGTCACATCTCTACTGTCTCTTTCCACTGAATCGAAGAAAGACCACAAAATTCCAAACCTGTTCCTGGAGGATCACTGGAACTCCAACCCTAATTAAACACACCTGAACCAGCTATTTAAGATCTTCAGGATCACTAGAAACTTTGGCTGCATTTACACTGGCACAAAAAATCTGATTTTTTTGCTCACATCTGACACAGATCAGAATTTGTTGCACATGTGTAAACACAAAAATCTGCATTTTCGTATCCGATCTGGGCCACTTCCAAATGTGGATTTTAATCGGATACATATCCGGTATCTGGACATCCGACCTGCATCTAAACACACATATCCGGTTCCCCTAAGAACTCTGAGCCCCTACAATGTGAGAGCAACATGTTTGCCCATAAAGACAGCGTTTAAATGCCGGTGTGCTGTATGTGCTTGCATTTTATTGAGGTGGGAACTTTATATATAAGAAATTGCACAATATGCAGGAGCTGGTTTTCAACCCTTGCACCATGAATTTTATAAATACAATAGCTTCACTATTAAAAGCTACATAATATTTCTCAGCAATGAGGTGATAACTGTTTTTAATTAAACCAACAAGCTTCACTATTAGGCTACTCACTCGTGCGTTCTCTCTCTCTTGTTAATTCATTCAGATTTATTCAAATAAATATAATCTTACTATAATCTTACAGCGCTACTTTATTTCACTTCAGAACTCTACATCTAACGAGCTGTAGATAAAATAACAAATTAAAATTACCGTTATTTTCTGGTCTTTATCCGTTCAGTCAGATTTTGTGCTGCAAAACATCCATGACAGCTGTTGTCCAAGGTGGGAAATAATAATGTCCATTCAATGTGAATCATATTAATAATTTTAATAGCACGGCCATTCAAAACCTGATGGCCTACTACTACCATGTGCATAGTAAAGAGATCACAGATGGGCGCGAATGAATGTAAAAACAGATATTGGATACCAGTTGTGTCTAAAGTGAATGTAAACAGGCGGGCCAAAAAAATCGGATCTGTGCATTAAGACTTGTAGTGCGAATGCAGCCAAAGGCAATTCTGTTGGAGCTAAAATCTGCAGGATGTTGGCCCTCCTGGAGCAGGATTGGGCACTCTTGGTCTATAGAAATAGGAAACACCTGAAGAAAATTTCAAGTGTCATAGTAAAGGTTCTGAATACTTACATTAATGTGACATTTCAGTGTTTTCTTTAAAAACAAATCGCAAGGATATCACAATTATGAGGGTATGAAGTGCAGAGTGATGTGGGAAAAAACCCATTGAAAGCAGTGGTTTTTAAGCCTGTTCCTGGAGACCCCAACACTGCACATTTTGCATGTCGCCTTAATCAAACACACATGATTCAACCCATCCAAGAATCCAAGACCTGAAACTGGTTTGTGAGACAAAGGAGACATTCAAAATGTGCCGTGACATTCAAATAAAGAGGTTTGGAAGGAAGTGTCTAATCTGATTTCACTTCTGGTCACTTGTAATCACTTCTTAACACCCACCTGTTTTGGTCAAGCTCAAAAACTGAAGCTATTCAACCCTGTTTCCAACATTATGAATAATCATACAGTTTTTTTCTCTTTTTCTTTGTGGTAAAAAATATATAAGATCATCAGACTCAGAAGAGTAGCCATTTTAATCTCAAACAGACTGAAGATCAATGAGCCAGAATTACAAAAGACTCATCAAATAACCAATGGGAGAAACTGTAAGGCTCAATACGGCAGCTGGAAACTCCAACTATTAGTTAAAACTACCTTTACGTGCACTCCAAATCTTTAATCAAAACATGCCACTTCTCTGATGTATGAGGGCTGGGCAATAAAGCAGTCAAATAGCCAGACTAGTTTCAATCTGTCCTTTAAAGCAACCTGTCACTCGCATTAAATTACTGCAGCAATTACAACAACGATCAAGAACAATCATCCAACCAATTCCTGATGGACAAAACCAAGTCCCCCTTATGTTCTATCATTGGTTGGTTAGTGTGAGTGATGAGCATCTGAAATGTCTGGAGCAGTTGAATGAGGTACCGTAACTATGCTCTAAAAAGTGCTGGGTTATTTTTTTTTTTCAACCCAAACACTGAGTTGAGACTGCTGGGTGAGGAAGCTGGGTTGATTTAACCTAATCTGGGTTGATAATGGTTCATAATCAGTGGTGGGTTGGGAATGTGGACGTGAAAGAGAGCATGCATGCCACACAAGTTCTCTGTGTGCCGATACTATGACACCTATCTGACAGGAGTATGTGTGGCAAATAACAGAAAACTAATCGAAGCAGACAGAGAACTTTGGCTCTGTCTCAGTTGAGGAGTTTGTTCTTTTAAAACTGGACCGGTGAGTGGGAAGATGAACTGAAAAAGCAGAAATGACACTTAAGACGAGTCTATCCAGGTTTGACGCAACTGACTTCTGGATTTTTCTCTGTTCTTCATCAGGAATTGCACTATTAAACTTTTTTTTTTTTAAATTAAGATCAAATAACAAAGACTGATAGCTTAACTGGGTTATTTTTTTTTTTCAA